GGGGGTTTGGGAATTTTTGGGCTGCTCTTTGGAAATCCGAGACCAGTATCTGTTTGTGGGTCCTTTCCAGAAGGTCCGAAACGAGGACTGTTTGAAGCTGGGTCTGGACCTGCCCATTCGGGCGGGCCAGGATTTTTCTTCGTGGTCCAGTAGGACACAGAGAACGGCCGCTATTACCGGGTGTCTTACTCGGATCGACAGAAATTCGTCCTCCCGGAAAAAGACCCCTGGACATGTGATACTCGTGAAAAGGGTTTTTCGGTGGAGTTTTTCATCAAAATCCTTGACAACTTCGCTGTCAAGAGGGGTCCAATTTGGGACCTGACTGCCAGCCTGATACGATGCTTTGCGGTCTGACCCAGTTATTACGGAGGTAGGCTAGTGTTTTGTTGTTGTCGATGTAGTATATAGCGAGCTACCTTTAGTTTCTCTCCCTCTTTCACAGCAGACCTTGTATGGCTGTCATTTTCAGCGTGCGTTTTGGCGTATCGCTGACCACGACTGCCGCCATTTTGACTGTTGGATCGCTCGGTGGTTCTTGGGGTTGCCGGACTGAAGGCGGGGCGGAGAAGGGATGGGATCCCTATGATGTTAATTTTTCCTATCGACCATCCCCTATGCGGGGTTTTTGCTGTGTTGTCACTATGTGACTGCGTACTCATCTTTGTGTGTATGTGCTTTCGTTTATGCCCCCTCGTGTTCAGGATCCAAACTTGAAGGTGTTCAGCCCCCGCCGAAAATTATTTTGGGACCTAAAAATAAATGCTTAGCCTACAAATTAACATCTTTGTGTGTATGTGCTTTCGTTTTCTGTTTTTCTTTGTGAGTTCTCTGTGATGCGAGGTGCATGCCTACAAATTTTGAATTCATCTTGCTAAGCCAAAACAAAATTAAAATTAAATGCACACACACACACAATGACTGGTGGGTAACCCTCGGCATACCACTCTGTTTTGTCCGACCACCCCTTTTCTCTTTCTCCACAGCACCATCTTCCAACAAACACAATTTTGGCTGCACCAGACCCCCAAAACAGCTTACGTTTGTGTGTATGAGCAGGGTGCGCAGACCAGGAAGATAGCATGTATGCATTCCTTGCCAGGCTGCATTGTCCTCAGGGAAAGACAGTAGGGCGCGAGCAAGTTCACACCCGCTCTCTCCCCGCACTACCATCTCCCCCAAAACAGAACCACTTATTTTGGTTATAGCAGGTCAGAAGAGCCGACCATAGGCTCCGCTGCAAAACCATTTTGGCTGCAGTACACCGGAAAGATGGCTCATATACGCTTGTTATCAAGGTGCATTGTGTTCGAGGGATGACGGTGACCCACATGGCCTCTCTCGCTCTCTCTCTCCCCCCATCACTGTTTTCCCACAGCCGCAATACACCCTCATTTTGGCTGCACTGCAACTGAATGATATCCTATATAATATATATTTATTATCAGGGTGCGAAGCCATTTTGGCTGCACCGGACTGGAAAGAGAGCTTGTACCCATTCGTTATCATTGTGCACGGTGTTCTGTGGGAGATGGTGGCCACTGCTCTCTCTCTCTCTCTCCCCACTACCTCACACAGCGTGATAGTAAATACATAAAAGATATTTTCCTGAACCAAAACAGTGTTAATGAGGGCACAACACTTCCAGATGTTCATTTATTTTTATTTTCATTTTTATTTTTAAATGTTGCTTGTTACTGTAGCAGGACATCTCCCGAAAAGGTAACCAGTCCCATCAACTTATGTTTTTTTTTTTTTTTACTGGTGGTTTAAGAAGCCAAAATGGAGTTTTCTTTTTTTTTTGGGTGGTGGTGTCAGTCCCCGAAAGGGCAAAATTGAGGAGTCTTCTGCTGGAGCATGGAAATATTTGCCACGCTTAGTACTGAGGGAATGTGCAAAACGAGAATGAATCTTCCACTGGAGCCGCCCTGGTCTGTCTATCCACATCATCGATGGATGCGCTGTTATTTGTTCTTACCTCCCTTGTCATTTTTTCCGCATTCTTGCACTATTACACAGCCCTTCCTCTGTGCTGGGCGCGTTGGTTAGGATGTCTAATGTTCGAATAAAAGTCCATAGCGGCGCCTCCCTGCTTTAAAATGAGAATGAATCTTCTGCTGAACCATGGAAAGATGCACCTACCGTCATATATTTCTGCATGTTGTGAGTAGTGGAGCAAGGCCCACGTGGACGCGGTTATGAAAGGAAGCTTACACATAGGAAAGCGGTTCGGATGCCAAGCGACGCTGCTTTCCGGAGTTGTCCTGTTCAATCTGCTGTCGCACAATTCAAGACCTGGTCTGTCTATCATATCAACATTGATGCGTGTACCCCAAGCTGTAAAGGTCAACCCCCCCCCACACACACACCAAATAAAGAAAAAGAGGACTTCGTCTATCTCCTCGTCAAGGAATGCGCAAAAGGAGAATGAATCTTCATTTTTCAACTCGCAAACATACACCCCCTTAATCTTTCTTCTTTTAGCAAACGTGACGGATCGCACTCAACATTCGCGTCCATCTTCTTCGGTGGTGTCTTGCACCTTGCCCGTTGAGCAGCACCGACAACCGCACCATCCAGTCCACAAGGCATGGCTTGCCCCACAATTTGATGCTGCCGTGTATAGACTAAATTACAGCTGGGCGCGGTGTCACCGCGCCGGTTTCACGTGTACCAGTCATGATGAAAGCGAACTTTAGAGTTATCTCACACTGTTTGCAGCGAGGGTGCAGGAAAGAGGGTGCAAGGATGACGATTGTGGTTTAGGGTTTAACGGGGGGTTAGCCTTTATGAAGGTTGAGGGTTTTGCGTACCAGGTCTATCGTATGGCCTAACCTTTGCTGGGGGGCTAGGGTCAGTGCTTAAGCTCCACTGATTATGATTAAGGTCGAGGATTGAGGCATAGGTTGGGAGTCAAAAATTAAGGTTGAGGGCAGCTCTCCGAATGTGTGAGTTATCCCTGATCGCTGCATTAATACCAATTGGTAAAGACACACACACACACACACACACACACACACACACACACACACACACAC